TAGAACACAACCCTAGCCTCCCACAAATCTCATGAAAAAGAGAAGCCCTTCGCTGCTACCGCCACCGACAACTAGGACTGGGTTTTTTTCCTCCAATAGCTAGTAAAACAACTTAAGTATTTTGGGAGTCTGTTTGGGATCTCATAAGGTTTAATGTTTCTTTATGGGGTTTGTTTCAAGGTTATTTTGTAATTATCAGTTAGGTCATATTCTTTTGGATTGGGAGCTCTTTCTCTAGTCTAGCTTCCTTCTTCAGGGCTGTGTTTGCCCTTGTGTTCAATTTTTTAGTTCCCAAAGATTAGTCGAACGTATGTGTAACCAGTTGATAATCACCTAGGAAGCACAGACACTCCATTTTAGGCAAAGTGTCCGTGTCAAATGTGGATATGTTCGGATACACTCCGGACACGTGTCCGACATGTCAATTTACATGTCTTTTTTTTTTTTGGACACATGACATGCACAGCCCTAAAAATTAAATAGACACCCATAACAGAAGCCCATAATTTAAAAGAAATAAGCAGCAAAGCAACCAAAAAAAAAAAGAAAGAAACGAGGAGTTAGAACACAACCCTAGCCTCCCACAAATCTCATGAAAAAGAGAAGCCCTTCSCTGCTACCGCCACCGGCAACTAGGATTGGGTTTTTTTCCTCCAATAGCTAGTAAAACAACTTAAGTATTTTGGGAGTTTGTTTGGGATCTCATGAGGTTTAATGTTTCTTTATGGGGTTTGTTTCGAAGTTATTTTGTAATTATCAGTTAGGTCATATTCTTTTGGATTGGGAGTTCTTTCTCTAGTCTAGCTTCCTTCTTCAAGTCTGCGTTTTTATATGCCCTTGTGTTTCTGTTTTGTTTTCATTATTCTCAATGAAAAGTTCGGTTTCTTATCAAAAAATATATATATATATTAGATGGAATCTTCCTCCTCTAGCCATAATAGTCAAAGTCAATCAATCCCAACCAAATCTTCAATCTCCACTTCTAATATTAAGGATGAATCAAAGCCACTTTGGCAACATATTGTTTAAAAAATAACATGTCGGGGGACATGTATACCTCCTATGTTTTAAAAAATTGGGTGTCACCTCCATGAACCTAACGCCTTGTGGCGAAGGATCATCGTGAGCAAGTATGGGTTGCATCCGTTTGATTGGGTTCTGGCAGGTGGGTCCAAGGTGAGCAACTACAACCCTTGGAAGGCTATTGCTTTGTGTTTTCCCGTCTTCTCTCCGTCCTTACGTTCCGTGGTGGGGGAGGGTCGTAATACTTACTTCTGGGAGGACACTTGAATAGGAGATAAACCTATGTGCCTTGTGTTCCCTAGGCTCTACTATCTTTCTGAAAAGAAGCTTCTATCGGTGGCTGAAATTTTGAGTTCTAAGGGGGCGGTTCCAACCATTTCTTTGGGGCTTACTCGTTCTTTGACATATCGGGAAACTTTAGAGGTTTCTACGTTACTTGATCTTTTGTCTGAGGTTTCCTTCTATTCTGAGAGGGAGGATGTGAGGGTGTGGACCCCCAACCCTTCGAAAGGTTTTTCTTGTAGCTCTTTTTTCCATATCCTGAACTCCCCATCTTCTTCTTCTTCTTCCCCATGGACCTCTTGGTTTACTTCTCTTTAGAAGATTAAAATTCCAAAGAAGGTTAAGTTCTTTGGGTGGCAAGTCTTACTTGGGAAAGTCAATACCATGGATCGTATTCAGAGGATATATTCCTTTTGTCTAGGCTCGCAGTGGCTCGTTCTCTGTAAGAGTGCCACGGAAGACCTCGAGCATTTGTTGTGGACTTGTCAGTTTGTGCAGGATTTATGGCTTCGGTTCTTTAGGTTTTTTGGGATGGCCTGGGTCCATTCTAGAGAGTGTAGGACGATGATAGAGGAAGCCTCTTTATGGGGTTCGGTCACTAAGGCCTTTTGCAATTATCAGTTAGGCATCATTCTTTTAGATTTGAGCCCTTTAGGGGGCTTCCTCTTTTAGAGCTATTTTATTTTGTATGCCCTTCTTGCATTTTTTGTACTTCTTTTCATTTTTCTCAATAAAAACCTAGTTTCATATTGTTGAGATATCCATAAATGAATTAAATTTACCCAACCCATTAGCTTAAGCTTTTGGGTTGAGTGGTGGTTTATTCATCCTTAACATGGTATCAAAGCGGGAGGTCTTGTATTCGAACCCTTGCGTTGTTGTTTCCTCCCCATTTATTATGATTTTCACTTGTTGGGCTTTTGTGCAATTTTCCAAGCCCACAAGTGAGAGGGAGTGTTGAGACATCCATAAATGAATTAAATTTACCCAACCCATCAGTTTAAGCTTTTGGGTTGAGTGGTGGTTTATTCATCCTTAATACTTATCAAAAAAAAAAATTAGTGTGATCATGTCCATGCTTCTTAGATCATCATATTTCCAAGATGTCAGAAGTCTCTAACACATCAATGCGCAAATACAGGAATTATCTTTGGCAGCTGAAAGTTGAAAGTGACGCGGGGCCAAAAAGTTCCCAATTTATTTAATTCTACATAAACAAGACACTCAAAAAAGGCAAGATTATGAACTTCCATTAGCCTCTAAGATACCAACAGAGGAAATGACGGATCAACATTTGCAACTTGGTTATCAATATCCACAGTGAACAAACATCAGAATAACAATTTAAAATTCACAACTTAGCCTATATTCTCTAATGTTTGTACAAGCAGAATGAGCTTACAAGACCACTTATTTCAAATACTAGTCATAACATGTAAATGTATTGACTAAAAGAAACAGATAGTTTTAAACTAATGATAAGAAAAACACAAAAAGAAAATACTACGAGATAGACCGATTATTTATTTTTGCTTGTATACCTCTGCTTCCAGCCTTCCAGGTTTTCCAGATGGGTTTCTTTTATGAAATTAGTTTTTCATTTTCCTTTTTCTAGTATAAGATGCAAAAACCTCTTTCTTGCGTATAGCTTTATTTTAATACTCGTTCTGGATTTACCTGAAGAAATTGTCACAATCATTTTTTTTATATACGAAACAAAACTTTCATCGAGAATAATGAAAAAGATACAAGAACTACAAAAAAGGACCATCTAAAGGGCATACAAAAAACAACCCAAAAAGAGGAAGCCCCCTGAAGAAAAGGACTCCAATCCAAAAGAATAAGGCCTAGCGAATAATTACAGAAGGGCTTAGAAACCGAGCCTCATAACGAAGTATTAAATCTAATTAAATCCTTGACATAGTCTATAGACTTTTCCACCCCCTAAACATTCTATGATTCCTTTCCAGCCATATACCCCATCGTAACAATCATTTCACCTAGTATGTTCTACATTTCTTGCTTATCTACGAGAAGCAAGGGTGAAAATATCATTGATATTCATCAATCTATCGGTGTATATCGATAAAATTGTGGATTCGACAATGATAATGGGAAAGTCTTTTTTTTTTAAAAAAAAGGGCAATAAATTGTTGATATCATCGATACTTGTTGACATTTTTTCAATATTTTCCATTGACCATTGACTGCCAAAATATCGACGATACTTTATTGATATCTGTCGATATTTCATCAATATTTTCTAATATCCATGATATTTTGCAGCTCTTATTTCTCCCTACTACCAGCCTGTATCTCAATTTTTCTCAGTTTTAAAAGTTGCATCGTGAGTTTCGAGTCTGGTAAAAAATTAGATGATCACAAATCTATACACAAATCTTGTTAAAAAAAAAACTGTCACTGCCACTTCTTCATTGTCTTTCTCCTTTTCTGTGTTCAGATTTACTATATATTTATCAATAATATAATAATTATTGCCCACAGCCTCCGAAAATGTCTTATTGTTAAAGTGATATATTTATTTGTACTAACAGATATATTTATCAATAAATTGATTGATTTATTTACATTTATTGGAATTCTACTCCGGTCATCATGAAAGTCTCTCTTAGCGACCACTATGACCTCCTTCCACTAGATCTTTCTGACCTGACCAAGCGTTGTTGTCATTGAGGGAGAGTTAGACGCAGCTGAAAGTTACAACTACATTTGCAAAAGGGGTGGGTCCCTTTTCTCACCGTACTAGGTGAATGGGTGGAGGAGGCTCTTTCCTTTAGAGAAAATCTTGAAGCAAAGCACATAAACCAGACCCCTAAAACTCATTTCTCAAAGGAAAAATGTTCTTATCCCTGAGTTAAGGATCTTTCCTATGGTATCAACTATCCAAACAATCACTACCCTGTCTGCCGTAATAATAAAGAACCTTTGCAGGTGGGCCTTTGTGATTTTAATTATCCTCCCTCTATTCTTTTAACCATACGCACAAGAGAAAGTCTTGTTTTCTATCGAAATAGAAAGTTTATGCAAGGCTGTTGAAGCAAGGACAAAACAAAAGGAGGGCTAACCAAAGCGTGGTCGGAGGAGATGCGGGAGAAGGGACAAAGTACAGGAGAGGAAAAAATTGACCACAGGAGAGGACATGGTTTCTAATAAAGTATTCTTTACAAAATAATAAATCTTGGATCCCAATCTCATCCTCGAAATGAAAACTGAAAACAGTCCCTCTTACCCATCCCCATTTAGAAAAATTATTCCCCACCATTTACACCTCTAAATCAAGTAGAAAACCTCAAAGTTGGCCGCTGAATTTAAGTTGCTAGAGACCAAACTTTATGATATAATTGCAGTCAATGTCAATCAACCTGTATTCATCACTAAAAACCAATATCTCAGAAGTTGAAGCTATATTATCTCTTTATTAAACCATCTAACAACCATACTTCCCCACAATTTATTGACATTTCTGCAGAAAGGAAATAATGCTGCTTCAAACGTCTAAAGGTAATCAAGTATAAACCACTTTTATTATAAAAATTCAACCAAAAATATAAAAAAGAAAAACTATTTTCCCAGAAAAGTAGTAGCAGTGGACAAACTTACATCCTGATCCATCTGAATGTTTGCATCATCAAGAGTTTTATCCATGTCGTTCATCAAGGCATGTTTTCGGTGGCCATAGTAATCCCAAATGCATACCTAATTAAAGTTGCAAATACTTTAATACAAATGAACAAGCAAAAGTTTATTGGCAAAAAGAGTTATAAATGGAATACTCTGCATGTAGATGGGTCATATGAACTTTACTTGTTCCAAGTTAAGATCAAAAATTTCACAAGCTCGTCTGTGAAGCTCACCAATTGTCTCCTGCCAAAGAAACACGAAATTTTTAATAAAACTAACTGGTATACAATGAAGTACATGTTTGAGTAAAATTGAGACGGGTAGATACAGAAGAAAGTGGTATACCATGACACGTTCTCATAATACCTTCTTGCTTATTCTTATTGTGGAACGGTCACCCTTTCCCACCTCTAATAATTGAAGGCGCAAAGGATATACTTCAACAGCCAATTCAGTTTGAGAAAGACCTGCACTAATTACCTTCCGTGCCAATGTTGGACCTCCACCATACCTAAAATCAACCAATAGATTTGACTAACTTATAAATGGTTCATATAGATTTCCAACATAAAAGGGAGACATGTAGTTAAAAGTTCGTAAACAATTGGATGTATATTATATAAAAGGCGCCTAAGGGGGATCCACCTTTCTSAATTCCTCTTTTAAGTTCATTAAAGTCTTAAATAGTATTTTTCCCTCATTTAATTACTACTTAATTATTAATTGGTCGTAAAAATAATAATAATAAATTTAACATATTGTTTGTCTCGGAGCACAAAGTTATAAGCAACACAATTCATAGCAGAAAAACACACAACTCAGCAGAAAGTTACAGCAGAAAAAAAAACTCCATTCTTGTTCCTTTCTATTTTTTTCTTCTTACTCTCTTTTTTTTTCTTTTTTTTTTTTTGTTCTTTACTTCTTCTTCTACTTCTTTTTTTATAAAAATAAAGCACTTCAATGGAACATATTCAAACCATGGAAACCAACTACCTAAAATTTTATATCCTATGAATTTTCTTGGAGACCAACTATAGTGCATTAGGTAGTTGTCCCGTGAGATTAGAGCAAGCTAGCCCAAACACTCATTCATATAAAAAAGGAAATTGTTGGAGAATAAGTTGTTTCAACTCCCTTATTCCATCATTGCCCTTTCCCTTTCTAGACGGCAGGATTCTTGAAATGAAGTAGGAAATCGCTTTATAGAACTCAAGCATCATGATCTCCATTTGAACTAACTCCAACTTCAAGCTCTATGCCAACATTTCAGCATCTTCTCTTCCTTTTTTATTTTATAAAAAACTGAAAATTTCATCATCAAAAGAGAGGTACAAAAAGGGGAGATGATATATCCCCACATGCCAAAGGGTTACAGAAAAGACTCCCAATTGACCAAGATTTGCATCGCACCATAATTACAAAAATATTTAGAAGTAGGCTACTAATCTAATATGGTGGGAAACTACTGCCCTTCCTATCTCTTTAGGTGGAGCTTGAAACAGGAAATAAATCGGCAAAAAATGCAGCCCCCTTGGCCAAATGGGGCTGGTCAGGTGTTTTATGACTGAAAAGGAAGACCTCTGGATGCATTAGAGAAGGAGAGAGGATGTCTAGAGAGAGAGCAAGAGAGAAGATGTTTTATAAATAGATGATATTTAGAGAGAGAGGATGCCTAGAGAGAGGGAAAGTGAGGGGCATTCGAGAGGAAATGCATATAGAGAGAGAGAGAGAGGGAGAAAGGGAGGAGGAGTAGAGACTATGCTTTAAAAGAAAGACACAGGATTCCACTTTGCAAAAGACCTCACACTGTACTTCTATAATTTTAAAATATTGAATTTGGAAACAAATAAAACATTAAAATGATGTGTTCCAAAATTAACATAAATGGACCATTGATTAACAATCCTACCAAACGTGAACCCAATTTTATTTAGTATCCCCTGTTTTCCTAAATATAAAAACAAAAATAGATTAGATACCAAATGGCCCCTAATATTTCAAACATTTTATTCTCAGACATTTAATATCTATACTCATGAAATAAAACCAACAATCAACAGACTATTAGGGCAGTTTTTTGTAAGCTCCTAAGGTTTTAGATAATGCTTTTTATACATTCAATGAAAAGCCTTTTGAAGAAAATAAATAAAAGAATTCATTCGTAAATTACAAGAAGAAATGTGAAACCAAAAACCTATAACTTTCCCCTCGATGGTTGAGGCTATGTTCATTACTTCAGCAAAACTAAATAATGCAAAAACAAATGCAATCAATTATTTTCTGACTAGAAACTCTCTAAGTTTTCAACCGATTCACCACAAGAAGTACTCTGTGAATGCAGCCCAAATACCACATTCCAGAGCTTAGTTTATCAAAAAGGTCACATTGCTTATGTCAGAATTCCATTTTAAGTAACAATGAAACAGCACCATTTTAAGTAACAATGAAACAGCACGCCTAAAATTTATGATTTTCCCCTTTCAAGCCTGATGACTAGGAGTTACTTTCATTGACTATTATAAAATCAATGTTTCAATGGCCTAAATCCTTTTTATTATGACTCACCACAAGTATAGTTGCTTCCACACTTCTTGCGGAAGCAGAACATAATCACGCCCTTCTAAAAGAGTATCATGTATCTCAATGCTCACACTAGAGTCCTCTGATGCAGCATCATAAATGAGGTCAGAGTTATCGATATTAGCAGGTCTCTTTAACATGCTTGAACCAAAAGAATCATAAATTTCCGCGAAGGAGGATCCATCATTTGCATTAACCGGTTGGTCTTGGTTGACATATTCGATCCAGTGTTGCCACCATCTGTTACAGTAACATTCAAGCATCACAATATGTTTGTCGGCTGCTTAGTTGAGGAAATGGATATGTTTCCTGAATTCTCATGAAAATGCAGACTCTTAAAAACATTGCACGAAAGCATGTCTACCAAAAACCACTTCTTATCAGATTTTCTTAAACAGATACAAAACATTTCACGAAGAAGCAAGCTCCCCGCATCTTACTTCCACCATAATACTATGACCAAAAATATCACTTTTTCGCATTAAATAACAAGCCTTTCGTATTCAATCCCCCAGGGAACAAAATAAACAAAGCTTGGGCCTAGATGGCTAAACAATGAATTCTTCATAGATGGTTGAAACATCATTAGACGTGAACAAAAATCTCACATTCAGGGTGCCCAGAAAGCATTATTTATTCATACGTGCCTGGAGGTTGCACAAACGAACAAAAGCATGGAGGAGAACAACAACAACAGGGTGAGGATCGATAAGAAATGCTTCCAGCACAAATTATCCCCGAATGTAAGAATTCTCTGACAAATACCGTCTATTGGAAATCTAATTAAGCGAAAGAATCACATGATTTTCTCTGGATTTAAAATGAGTGGAGGAGGGAGAAGGAGAACCTTTGAGTGATTAAATAAAAGACATCGCCCTCTTTAGTATTAGCTTCGGCAGTCAGAGCAATGTCTCTGATCATAATCCTCTCTTCCTCTGGAGTGAGCTCCGTTCTGCCACCGCTGCTACACATAGAAACCTCAGCCTCTGAGAAAAAATACTTCAAATTCAAGGTAGAAGAATTCCGAATTCTGGACTTAATTCTGAACTGCGCTAGATTTCTATCATTTCCGAAGAATATTGACTTCAAAGTTGAATATCCCTCTCGCTGGTTAAAGCCAAACCCTCGTTCGACGATACACCAGTTCCGAGTGGATTTTTTTTTAATATTGCTGTAAATGAAACTTATTTTAAAAATATAGTTATTTAATTAAAAATATTAAAAATATTATAGATTTTGAAACTTATTTTAAAAATATTATAGTTTTAAAAAACTTAAGACCATGTAGACGTTTTTTCAGGGATGATCACTTTCAAATTTAAAAAGAATTTACGTGGCGCCCACGTCTAAATAGTCGTCTCTTGACCTTTAGTTTTTTAAAACTATAATATGTTTAAAATAAGTTTCAAAATCTACAATATTTTTAATTAAATAACTATATTTTTAAAATAAGTTTCATTTACAACAATAGTAAACAAAAAACGAGTTCCAAGTGTTGTTTATAATAGTTTGGTTAAAAATTAAGATATCCATCAGCTTTATTTTTTATTTCTTTAGGCTTTGATTTAATTTCTATTTATTTTTTAGTCAAACACGTGAGTGGTGAGGATCGGCACTCAAAATTCTTGGTTGGAAATATGTCAATTACCGGTAAGTGTTCGTGTAATTACAATTTTAATCGGTTTTACTCTGCATTTTTAAAAAATCTTTATTTTAATTCCTACAATTCCAAAGAGTATTTAAAATTTAAATTCAGGTTTGATTGGGTTTGTCGGGTTGACAACCCTTGCCAAGTGAAATTCGACATATGAACGAACATGGACAATAATGGATCGATGGGAAGAGAGAGAGCGTGGAATCGTAAAGCTCAGTGTTGTGGGCATGCTTGTCCAGGGTGTGTTCCCCATGGCCGCATGTCCAAATCATCCTYACCACTCGCTTTCCTTTCATGTCTTTAAAGCTTTCTAGTGTAATTTTCTTGTATCGCGCCAAATTTCAAGCCAATCGGAGTTCACACGGGCCCTGTAGGCTACCGAGTGACTCCTCACCACTTAGGACGTCTACACCTGCCACACCAAATATGCCTTATAATGTACCTTAGGGGGGACTAAGTAGTCATCAAACCTCCCCCGACCAAGCGTTGTATACTTTCTTGCAATCAAAGCTTTCTTGCATCCAATGTTTACAATGCTTGTTTTAAAGATGTTTTCAACTGTTTTTCTCTCTCACGTTTTCTAAAACCAATTTTCTCCTAAAACGTGAGCGCAGGCTAGACCCACGATCGAGATTGTCTGCAACTTACAGTTTTTCCCGGCTGACTTGCTCGCTTGAGCTAGAGCAAGTGCCGCACAATCGCTCGAGCTGCTTTGAAAAAGTGCGATTGACACTCAGCAATCCAACAATTTCAAAACCCATCAAAGGGGCCGGAGACCCTCTTTTGAAAAGACCGGTTCAACATCTCCGGTCAAATATTTAGCATTGGTTCGAAAGGCCGGTTTAACATTTTCAAAGATTGGTGACTGCCGTTCATATATATATATATATATATATATATATATATATATATATATATATATATTTTAATATAACTTAGTAAATGATGTATATTGGTTATTAGAAAAGAAAAAAAATTATGTCTATCAGTTAAGGTGCCACTAACCTTTTAAAAATAAAAAATTCAAATATTTCACCACACTCAAAATAATAATAATAATAATAATAGAAATTTTGTTTCAAAATATTGGTAATTGTTTAAAAAAATTTGGTTCATTGTCGAGCACCTATATAATAACACCATATTATCTTAATGCAAGCAAGTGATAGAACTTATTTGATATACTTTACGTAGTTATCCCTTCCATCTTTAAAAGAAAAAAAGGAAAATTTTTCTTTTTTTTCCTTAAGTGCAAGTTTTTTAAGTAGAATAAGTAATGTGAAGAGATCCGAACTCATGACATTTTAGTAAGAGATAGGTGTGAATTATCATCGAATTATGCTCATGTTGGTTTCTTTAGTCCAACTTCGTTTAAACTCTCTATTTGAATCCCATGCTTTGTCATTCTCGAGTTAAAATGTAAACGTCCCTTGTATATTTTCATTTTGAAACTATATGAAATTCATATAGATACACGGAAACATTTCAACTTTAGTTTTGAAACAAAAGTGTATAGAATTTACATCAGTAAAAATTATTCAACCAATTTTCTCTTAAGACTTTTTGAGCATAAACTAGAGTGCAAATGAAGAAAATGACAGAGGTTAGATATATATCAATTAATTAAGTTTACCCAAATTCATCGGTAGTTTTCATATTTAAGATGGTATCAGAACAAGAAGTCTTGTGTTCAAACATTTACATTATTATTTTCCCCCTTTATTATTGTTGGGTCTTCTACATCGAGAGGGAGTTAAATATTCATAAATAATAGTTCTTTTAATAGTATTTACAAGTGTCAACCTAGCTTGAGTCAAATGTTTAATTCTACAATTTGTTGTAAAAAACCAATGAGATTTTAGATTTCGACATGACATCCTAGTACATGACCGTGTAATTATTACAATCGAACCATAATAACTATTTCGTAAAAATTAAAATATACATTTATGAAGTTCACATACCAAAACAATAATAATTATTTAAATTCAGAAACTAAAATGAATATTTTAAAATTTTTATTTTAGAAGAAGCTGTAGATATTATAAAGAGCATGCCAATGAAACCCAATGGGATCATATGGGGATCTCTATTGGCTGCATGCCGTACCTATAAAAAAAAACATCGATATGGCAACGTTTGCAGCTGAAAGGTTAGCAGAAGTGGCTCCAGAAAGGACTGGGATTCATGTGCTTCTATCAAACATATATGCTTCAACTGGAAAGTGAGCCGATGTTGCAAATGTGAGGCTACAGTTGAAGGGCAAAGGGGTTCAGAAAACGCCTGGTTCAAGCTCGATCGAAGTCGATGGAGTTATCCATGAGTTCACCTCAGGCGACAGATCACACCCAGAAAACTATGACATTGACATGATGCTAGAAGAAGTTACCTGCAGGCTAGGTGATGCTGGCTATGTTCCTGATCTAACCAATGTTATGCTTGATGTAAATGAGCAAAAGAAACAATACCTCCTCAACCGACATAGCGAGAGGCTAGTCATGGCTTACGGGCTTATAAGTACAGAAAAACATGTGAGGATTCGTGTTATAAAGCATCTCCGAATGTGCTATGAATTTGCCAAATACATTTCAGAAGTGTTTGATAGGGAAATGTTTGATAGGGAAATAACAGTACGAGACAATAATAGGTTTCACTTCTTTCAACATGGGTCCTGTTCATGTGGCGATTATTGGTAACATAATTCTCGGATAGAACAGAACTGTAAAAGAAAATATGCATCTTCAAAAATTTTGATTTACATTCGTTCTATGCAGAACTTAAGATTGTCTTTCTATCTGTAAGATACAAAAGAAAATGCAATCAACTACTTCACAGATAGACAGCAACTATGGACATAAGCAGCACAATGCTAGAACACGTTCTCTATCAGTTGATAAGAAACCTACAGATTTTAGAGAAATGTGACAAAAGAAATATGCTGTTTCTATAACGATTCACATTGTCAATGACATGGTAGCCTCCTAGAAATATGTTATAATATCAACACAGATCATAATATAACTGAAAGCAGCTTTCATAGTTGGGGGAAAATGGAGTCAACATACGCATGGTGCATTGGGTCTGATAGCCAGAGTTTAGCAACATGATGATGGGACGAGGTGCGCCTATGAATCTCTTCAACCATCCATATGGTTGCTTCAGCTTTACTCGGATGAATTAAAGTATCCAATGGCTTATATTCATCCGAACTTCCGAATCTTAATTGATCCCACTGTTTTAGTTGAATATTAGTCAGGTAAYGCAAAGGCTGACTATATAGCTGCTTTATAGATTTGCCCAATCCCACCCATGTTGTAAATGGTATTACAGAACCACGGTGTGCTGGGATTGGTATCTGTTTCATGTATTCTTGATACATTTCTGCTCTTTTAGTCAACAAACCTGCATCATTAGAAGACATTTTTTTAAAGATCTTTTCCAGAGCTTATGAATGTGAAAATTAATGTATGCAGCAGTGTTGATTATTAGTAATTTTGAATTGGACTCGTGCAATATGTCGAATTGTCAATCTAACGAAGACAAAGGCCAAATTACCTTCAGATGTGATTTCTTTGGCAGGGATTTTCAAATCATCCATGGAAGGCTTGAACTCAAACCCATCATTTTGACCTCCTATTTCTGAATCAGAGGAAGAAGATTCACCTGATGAAATAATATCCACTTGTTCGTTCCATGGCATTGGCCTCTTCATATCGTAAAGAATGTAATTCTGGAGAAAACAGATCATGGATCAGTAACCATGCTGATTAATACACAACAGTCTACCATCACGATTTGAAATTCTATGTGATTATACAGGGTATCAAAAGATTACCATTGAGGTGGAAAAAAAATGCACAAATGCTTTTAGCATTAAACAAAATGCATAACAAATTTCAATCTCAGACTTGGGTTCATCAAACAACTCAATTCTGGGTCCTCACAGAAACAACTTCAACCCCATCACTATCCTACTACTTTTTTGCCATCGCTATCTTACTATTACACATCTCCATTATCAAATGCCACCTCTCGCATGAAACTACTCAAGCACAAGGCACACTCAGATTATTAGCAGTGCACTCAAATAACAATCGTAGTAGGGTGATTTCTGAGAAACAAATGAGATTCTAACAATGCAGCAAACGATGGATGTTCATCCCTCTTAGCAACATTCTGGCAACCCCTCCAATAATGGACAATTACAATTAACATTTCAAACAAACAAACAAGAAATTTTTTCATATGCACCAGGCAATCCGAATCCTGTAAAAATCTTTAGAAGAAATGCAAGAACAAGGGAAATTAAAGATTACGAGAGTCGATAAGTAGAAATCTGGAAGGGAAGAACATGGGTTTGGATTATCGTACAAGAAGAAACTCCAAACCAAGTGTCTAGGGGTGTTCATGGGTTGGGTTGGGTCGGGTTAGGGGGATTTTTAGGCCCAGCCCGAATTTTCGGGTTGGCCATATGTGGAACCCAACCCAACCCAATTTGATGGCCAACAAAACCCAAACCAACCCAGAAAATTTAGGTTGGGTCGGGTTGGGTTGTCAGGTTGTCACACTTTTTTTTTTCTCTAATCTAATAGTTACTGAAGTATTTGTCTCTGCAAGAATCTAAACTTCTAAAGAAAAAAAAAATTACCACAAAACTCACGAACAAAATACGAATATAGATAAGTGAGTCTCAAATGTAGCATTATAACTTCAAAAATTCCTCATTCAAATGATTAAAGTATGTCTAGAAAAAAAATGCTACTGTCATTACCTCCTTCACCGGTGGTGACAGGAGCTGATGCGGAGGGGCGGCGACAGTGCAGCGAGCGGACGGCGGGGGCGGCGACCGTGGGCGGACGGTGGAGCAGCGATGATGAGAGCTTGATGGGAGGAGAGAAGGAGAGAGCTTGAGTGGGAGGAGAGATGGAGAGATTAGAGAGAGATTCAAAAGGAGGGAAGAAGAGGAAGATGAAAAAAAAGAAGAAAACCCTTAAATGGTTGAGATTAAAGATAAAAAGTTTAAAGGTATTATAATTTAAACCTAATTTGATTTGTCATTAGGTTTGGTTTTTCATGTGTTCAGTTAATTTTGGTCTGTCCCTTTTATTGGTTGTCATTTCATATAAAGTTACAGGGAAAGGCCAAGAAGGTTGTTCAGGTACAGAGTTGTTGGTTTGAAATCTCAAATCTTGGACCGGAACTGGAATCCCATACATGTAAGGTGTCAAACAACTCTGGCTTCTTGATGGTTTTGATACTTGTTTGTTGTATAACTCATTTGATCACTTTATTGCATCCTCTAGGGTACTTGTAACAGGAAAAACAACCAGTGGAATCTTGGGACCATTAAATCCTCAAATTCTGAAAAGCGTTATTTGCAGAAGTAATTGTGAGGAGTCTAAGATTGAGAGATGGGCTTCTTTAGTGGGTTGCAAGGTAGGATCCCTTCCATTCAATTACCTAGGCCTTCCTTTGAAAGACAACCCTAAGCATGTTGCTTTTTGGATCCCGGTGATTCAAATGGCTTTGGCCCTTACCCTTTGGAGATCTCTCTCTGGCGTAGGATCATTGTGAGCAAGTACTCCTTCATAGTGGATTTCCAAGCATAAGATCAAAGGCACTCTCAGGAACTCGTGGAGAGCTATTGCCCTGGGGTACTTGAATTTCTCAAGCTTTATCAGGTTAATTGTTGAGGATGGGGCATCGATTTTCTTAAGGGAGGACTATTGGTTGGGGGATAGTCCCTCTGTTACCTCTCCTAGTCTATATCATTTGTCTTTGCTTAAATTTGTACACATTGCGCCTATTCTTATTCTCATTGTGTTAACTCTATGATTCTAGTAACTTAGTAATTTATGCCTGTTAACTCCGTTAAAATATAGAAGAGACGTCATCTCCCTATGACTTAATTGTTTTTTGGTGTTTTTTTAAAACAAGGTTCCCTGTTTCTTATCGAAAAATAAATTAATCAATTTTTGTACTAGATATTGATCAATCTCATTTGCTGCAACAAGCCTCCTAGTTTAGAGTGGAAAAACTACATCAAATAAATCCATAAGAAAAAAGTTTCTGCTCATACCATACCACACCAAACTAATCAATTGGTAAATTGATTTTCGATTTTGAAAAGCTGTGGCAATGATTTAGCAAAAGAATGAAGGTCACTTACCTTTGAGTTGTGGAGAGAAAACTGAGGGCGGTAGTGCAGCAGTGAGAGACAACCAATAGCGATGGCAAATCTTCCTGCATAAACATAAAACTAATTACGACTTTAAAACTTACATTTACACAACTAGCCAGCAATCTCAACATGCATTTACCTAATGAAAGCTTTCTCAATCGAGCATGTGGGGATTGAAAGTTCTCCAATTCAAACCATAAAGAAAAAATAAACTGCAAGTTTCCTCCAAAGGTGAGAAAAATCCTTAATATTACCTATAAAACAAATTAAATAAAGTACAGTAATGTAATACAAATTGGCCAAGAAAGCCATGTCAGAATTAAACCACAAAATAACTTCAAGTTCCATAAATACCATATGAAAATTACAATTTGTAGGTGAGGAGACAAATGAAAGCAAGAAAAACGGATTCCAAATCCCCCATTCCCCCTCTAAAGCAAACGTTAAATCCCTACACAGCCCCACCAAACAACCTCTTGGATGCTCACAAGTTCTCTATTTTTACCGTTATGAAATCCAGACATGGGTCAGGGTAAAAGAAACTGAAAAACACAATTGGAACTTGATAAAATAGAACAATCATACTTAAAAAAGAACCTATCCAATGGTGACCCATCCACCAACAGCATTATCAAAGCCTAACTAACACGTAGTAAAAACAAGTAATGTGAGTGAAGATAACAGTTGCACAATAAGAAAAATAAAGAAAAGGGATAGCCAAAACCTTCCATGTGATTTCCTAAAAGAAAAGCCATCTAGAAGGAAATAATGCAATACTTTTTTTTAATAAGAAAATATCATAATATTTTAGATAAAGATAAACCAACAAATGAGGAAGATTTGGCTTATTGAGGGAAAGATTAAAACAACCTGACAAAATATTAAAACAGAGGACAACCTGAAAAACTAAGGGGGGAAAGTTGTCAAGCTTGACTTAAGGCATGTAAAGAAATGCTTAAATAAAACAACAAAAGCCTAAATAAGATGAAGTTGTATAGCGAATTGATCAAAGAAATCACCTCACTGTAAATAGAGAGCAACTGCAAACAATGAGCAAGGTTGGTGAGATCTAAATTGCTTCACCATGAGTTATAACAGTGCTAATCCCTAATAAATGCTTATGAGATGATCATGGCTTAAGAAAAGTTTGATAATTTATCTCTCTATTATTACATTGTATAGTAGCCTAAGTTTTAGCTGCCCATTTATTTTTCTTTTGTGCTATTCAGTTGTAATATGACACATTCTCCGTAAGTTTTTTCGCTTGGCTTTTAGTGACTCAACAATTGAACAACATGAGCATAATCCCAAACACCCTAGCCACCCTCCAATTCTCTCGATCATCATTCACTTTATTAAGCATAGGTGAAATTCTCAATTCCGACTAAACCATAATGACATTTTATAGTCACAATCATGATGCAAATTATAAACCATAAGTCAAATTCTCAATGAAACCTATATCACAAGACACAAACTCATGCATAATTATAAAACTTCCATCTTAATTTTTAGCTACAATCTTGTCGGGCACACTTTCGAAAACAAAAAAGAATTGCTTTGGACGAGTTTTATACAAGCTTTTCTATGGACTATTTGGTGCGAAAGGAATAAGCAGACCTTCAACGATAAACAACAACCTTTTGAGAGGTTTTTTGATGCTATAGTTTACAAAGTGGTCACTTGGTGTAAAACTTCTCCTATTTTCCACCACTATAGCTATACTTCCCTCTTGACAAATTGGAAGTGTCTTATGTAACACTTCTTTGACTTTTGTAATTTCACACATCAATGAAATTGTTTCTTACACTAAAAAAGAATTTTAGCTACAATCTAATCGAATCAAAACTCCCCAAACTAGCTCCAACTGCAGGATAGCCGCACAATTACTTCATACGATAATTATTAACTATTAATTGGCTACCATAATTGCAGAATAGCCACATACCTACATCTCCTATCATCAAAACTATATGCATGTTTGAATAATTATAAAAGGACGTGATTCATACAATGATTACGATTAAAATTAAAAAGAAAAAAACTTGACATATTAAAATTATACCTCAGTGAATAACCGTTCAATGGCTTATTGATGAGGCACGAGGCTATGAATCCACCACAAAGCTCTAGGTGAAGAACTAATTGAGCAATGTTACAGAAGCAAGTCAATCCATTGTTCCACTATTTTTAGTATCCAATTTCTTAATGAAAAAAGAAAATCTCAATCAAGTCCAAACTTGAACTTAGTAAAAATCAAACTCTCCTAGAACTCATAAATTATTTATGAAGGACATATTTCAACACAC